TTTACTATTGACTGATTTCTTATATCTGAAGGCTTAATTATATTTTGCAAGTGTTTCCATCATTTTAAGTTTGAATGCACCATTATTTGCCTAATCTTCCACCACCACCCCCTGTCTTTTTTTCTTTCCTTTTGTCTCTTGTCCGTTGCAAAATTATATGCAACTTTGGTACAGAGACTTGCTTATTACTCTATATTTATGGCGGTTGAAGAGCCAACCAAAGTTAAATGTTATGTCACAAACGTCTACGTGATAAAATAATAATAGTAATAATTTCTTAGTCAATAAGGCTTAAAAGTTGTTAACTTTGGATAATGCATAACAACTGCAGTAATTTACTACTCTTAATAAATTTAGCTATCATGATTAATAAGCTCAAATCTAGAAGATGGGAGCTCTAGTGCAGGGCCTGGTGAAAGATGGGCATCCCATAGGACCCGAAAGATTGGATCAGCTTTTAAAAAATAAGGGTGGTGGTAAAAGTTGCAGATTTACTTCTTTGCAAAGATGTTTGCAAAGGGGAAGGTTGATCACCCTTTGACAACCTTTGAAAACAGAAAGGGCAATCAGAAAGGTTTATGCTTCTTCATTTATGGCATTTATTAATATGGCAGGGTTAGGGAACCTGTGGCCCTTGGGATGTTGTTGGACTCAAATTCTCATAAACCCTAATCATTGTCTATGCTGGCTTGGGTTGATGGGACTTGGAGTGCAATGATATCTAGAAGGGCCACAAGTTCCCCATCCTTATTCTGTGGCAACAAAAGTAGGCCAAAAGAAGCTTGGAAAGCAGAATTTTGAGCATCCATCATCTCTGAGAGTTATCACAGAGCGAGAGCCATACAAGACTGTTGGTGACTTCCACAAATCAGATGGAAGTCAGTTGGTTGTTCACCACTGGCCTGCGAGTGCTCCAATTGGAGAACAGTCTTTACCAAAGGTGTCATGGGCTTTGAAGACGCTCGAACTCAGGATGAAAGAGAGAAATGTGCTAACAGAAAGGCATGCTTGGCAAACCCTCACCGTGATCAACTCCCACCCGGAAACCTATGTCCCCACTGTGGAAGGATGTGTGGATCCAGAATTGGCCTCCAGAGTCACTTGCGGACTCACTGTTTAACCCATGTTTAGGAAGACAATCTTACTTGGCTACAAGTGATCGCCAAAGAAGAAAGAAGAAGAGACACTTCAGACTAGTGTGATGTATCTGTAGAATATCATGAGCCCCAGCAGTTTTCAGAGATTTCCTGTTCCCAGCAGACAGCTTCTTCCAGAGTCCCTGGTTAAGGGGAAAAACTCTTTCCCCACATATAAAATTATCTGGAGATTTGGTTCCTGTTCATTTAGCTTGCGAACTGGGTGTGTATGTGTGGAACCTATTCACCACTGAATGAAGGAGAGGTACCATCAGAAAGCTGAGAAGGAAGGAAAAGCAGTGCATTGTATTTAGATTGGGAAACCTGTGCTGTTAAGCACTCAATACTGTACACTCCATCCACCTAGTGATAGCAATAAGGAAAAGACTCTTTCAATGCATAGTTAAGGGACACTGTGACATCAGCAGAAAGTGCACCAATCCTCATTCTCTGCCATCTCCCCTATTTGCATGCAGGGCCATTGTGACAGCAGCAATCAGCAAACCAACCATCTCACCATTCCTTTATATGCATATTTGAAAATTCTGGACTCTAAATTTAGCTGGCAAAATGGGCAAGCCAAAATGGAGCTATCAAAAAAAAAGAAGGTTTCAGCATGCTTGCCCCCCCCCAAGATCTGCAGAATATTTGGGGGGGGGGGAAGAAACCCAAGGGGGCATTCTCTCTCCCGAAAAATCTAATGAGGACTGATCATAATCCATGGCCGCAGAATGCTGAGTGGGAAATGAGGTGCATGTGACAGAATCTAGTATCCTCAATGAAGGTACAGAATCATAGAATTGTAGAGTTGGAAGGGACCCTGAGGATCATCTAGTCCAACCCCCTGCAAAGCAGGAATATGCAGCTGCCTCATACAGGGATCCCACGTGCAACCTTGGCATCATCAGTGCCATGCTCCAACCAACAGACCTATGGCTGGCAGAAACACTGAATAGGAGTGCGCAGTATTTTGTTTCAAGTCTGTCTTTTTTATGAGCTCTACATCTACATGGCAAAATGGGGAAACTGCAGATTTCAAACATTTTATGGCCCTATTCAGGCATTCCTTCTCTTGCACGATTACCGTTTCCTGAGAAGAGTAGAGGTGCTCACTCCCCTTCCATTGCATCAAGCTTCTGTCAGCCCTCTGCATGCTGGGGGCTGAACCTTTGCAGCAGGAGGCCTGCACATGCAGTTCCAAAATGGCGGCACAGCTCCCATCACACAGGCCTGCAGACATGGCAATGATGAGACTGATGGGACAGAGCCAGGGAGCATATCCCTGCCAAGGGGCAAAGACAACCCCTGAAGAAAGCTTCAATTGTTTGCTTTGCATCTTGCTGTAACAATAATAAATCTGCACATTCTAGAATAGATATTTATAGATTTCACAGAAAGGGGCATATTCAGCATTAAGAGTTTCATTCTAAGTATGCGGTTTGTGAAGCAATAAAGCTCTTCATTTTTATGATTCACTCAAGTAGAAGTATTCATTTTGTAACAAAAGCTACTTTCTCCATCTCTTAACTTGTCCAGAGTATCTTTTGTATTGACAACTCAAAAGCGTGAACTTGAATTTATTATAAGTTGTCACGAAATCACAGTGCTTTTAACTTATTGATGGGTTGGTGTCTCCTAGGAAGTAACAACTGGGGTGGCTTAAAGCTGTCCTTACTGTTCAGATATTCTTACAAGGTTTTAGGATCTTTATGGCTGTGCTTAAGGTCAGTTGTCATTGAAGGCTTTCTTCAGAGGAAAATTCATAATTTGATATAATGGTCTAATTTGCCTTTTTAATTAAAAACCTCAACAACTAAAAGATAGAAACTGATCCTATCTTCTCACTGGGGGAATATTCCAAAAACGAGTCTCTTTTCAACTGCTGCAAAGCTCAAAGACCAGTTCCATGATGGAACTTTCTGCATTTGTGTCTTTATAATCATTTCAGAAACAGTAAGCTCATTTGTTTTTAATAACATTGCAGAAAAAGACCAGAAATTATATAATGACTGCAGAAATCACATTTTAAACAAATGAACAGAGAGAGAGAAAAAATGATTTTTAAAATTGTAATTCTCCAATTTATATGTAATTACCAGCTATCAAAGAACCTTCCTGGTATGCATAATGACCACCTTTTGTCCTTGCATGAAAAGTCAAGGTGTTTTCATTTATGGCTTTGTTCTCATCAGCTTATTCCTGGCTGGTTGGGAAAGGCAGAGGCAGCTGTTTTTATGACATTTTTCACAGCCGTTCTTCAAACTAGCAAACATATTCACATGAAAACCAGCTGGGCGTATTCCAAGTCTCTGAAACCCAGTACAGGCAAAGACCAAGTGGGTCAAGCTAATGGAAAACTGGCAGTAGAAAAGTAGGAAAAATAAAAAGGGTCTGAAACTTTTATATATATATATATATATATATATATATATATATATATATAATAAGAATAGATAACTATTTCTGAGATTATTATAATTTAGACAACATGCAACCATTCTCGATATATTTCACAACAAATTTTAGCTCTGTAGTAGATCTTCTTTTACATACATGCAGTACTAAGGGTTGTGCCCCTGCACTGCTCACTCCACTTGCCACCCCCTGCCACTCCTGCACATCACCCCCCCCCAAAGCATTAAGTAGGGTGTCAGGACTCAGTGCTCCTCCATATTGCCTTATTTGTACTTTATTTTTCTTGATTGGCTGCATTTGACTTGAATAACTGCGACAAAAGGTAAGCTGGTTTCTAGGGCACTGCTGATTCTGTGGATTTGGTGCTGCCTTCTTTATCCTGGACATTGCTAAATAAACAGATTATCAGAAGGAATATGTAAGTTGCCCGTACTCTTTTCTCCAAAGAAAACTGACCCCCCATTAAAGCATTCTGGAAGTGATGGAAATAAGTAGAAGCGGAGGGTGGAGGGATGCTTTGTTGGTTGATAAATAATATGCCTTCCTATGTCCTCCACAATGAATTTCTGGGTTCAGCAGGTAAGCAAGGCTATATGTTGGGCAATGGATTCAAATGAATCCCCAATTCCAAACTGAAGAGTGATTCTGGGCTTGTCCAAGTTGGAGCAGGAGCTGTCCAAGGTGCCTCGAACAGAGGATGGGATGCTTAAAGTAGCGCATCAGTGATTCAGACATTGAAAAACTGCATCTACTGTTCTTGTCCATTAATGAGGGCTCATGTTCATGATTAAGCCACATCAAACCTCTTGACAGAATGGCTTTCCATAGTAGGACAACATGGCTGTTACAACATTATACATCTGGTAAGGGTCAAAATCGCTTGATGTCTTCCATTTTTTTCTATAGAAATAGCTCACTCTCAACTGTGAATACAAGAGAAGGGTGAAGATAATACGTAGCATCTGAAGATAAAGCATACAGGTAAAAGACTGACTACCTGGTTTGTAATAAGTGGTTTTCCATTTAATCTGCTGGCATTCTTCCAAGGACATCTTTTCAAAGATGAAGCAAGGGCTGATGAAGTTTTGAAGAACTTGGGCTGCGTGCGTTCAATAACACATTTAATTAACAAACCTGAACACAGTGAGGCACTTGAAATCATATTAAAACAATACTTGCATATTAAGTCAGCTTGTGAATGCAGTTTTTGGAGTGAACAGCTTGAAAATATCATCAAATTGCCATGTAATTAAAAAATAAGTTTTGATTTTCATTCAAGGTTTTCTTTTTCTCTATGCAAATTTTCATCTTTGGGGGGAAAAAACTTTCCAGTGACATGAAAGAACTAATTTGAAAACTATATTAAAAAAAAATACTTAGAATGCTTCCTTAACAAAGCAGCAAAAAAAGTTTTGACCTATGTGCTGAAGTATGACACTTACCCATTACCTTTTTTTTTTTTTGCTTGGAAAAACTCTATACTGCTATAATTATCCTGGCAGATGTGATGAGGATTTGGTTGCGTCATTTCTTAAAAAAACAAACAGACCCAATGTGTGAAACAATATGCATAATGAGAGAGCCCTGGAGGGAGGAATCATGAAAATCCTGCCACAAACTTCTCTAGAGCTCAGTTTGTAAGGTGGTATGGGTTTTCATCTGCTGTACTGAGGGAAATTGTGACAGGGACTGCCATGTCAGTCTTGGATCTGGGCAGCCCAGTGACCCAACAATTCTTGACTTGCTGTCCTGGCAGGGGCCACCAGTGCTGATGGACCCACCTTCCTCTTCATTCTCTGGAGTCCTAGCTTACTGAGCAGCGCTGGTAGATATCTTGGTAGGCACCATTATAAATTGCCCACAATGCTCTGGACTGATGCTACATGAGGGCACTGTGAGTAACGGCAAACAGCTCACATCAACCACCACGGATGATGGAGCTACTGTGATGGTGGCGCTGGTAAGCCTGCTGGGGACAGGGCAGTGGTGTCAGAAAAGGCCTGGGAGAGGGTCCTTACCAGAGATAGTGGCAATCTGGATTTGTATTTTATTCCTCCTAAGATACTTGCTTGGCAGCTATAGACATGTTCCTACTGCTCTGCATACTTTTCTCCATCTGTGTGAGGGAAATAACCCAAAGCCACTTATCAGTTGTAAGATGAAGATGGAGTAACTGCACAGGATTGCAGCCACCATGGCCTGTACAATAGCAACTATTAAAAAAAAATTGCTAAAGTTTCTTTGTTTCCATCTGCAAGGTTCCCATCTCAGTTTTATAAGATTCATTGCACTGGCAGGAAATCTTGGAAATATTTATTTTGTAAAAACATTCTAGGATGTTCCAGAACACCTGTCTCAAAGACTATACAGTAGTACCTCGGGTTAAGAACTTAATTCATTCCGGAGGTCCATTCTTAACCTGAAACCGTTCTTAACTTGAGGTACCACTTTAGCTAATGGGGCCTCCCGCTGCTGCCGCCACGCAATTTCTGTTCTCATCCTGAAGCAAAGTTCTTAATCCGAGGTACTATTTCTGGGTTAGTGGAGTCTGTAACCTGAAGCATCTGTAACCTGAAGAGTCTGTAACCCGAGCTACCACAGTAGAGTTAGGTATTACCATTTCCTAATATTTTTATATGCACAGTTAGATGTTGTGCAGCATGGCACAGTTGGACAATGTGTATTCTTAATTTTTAAGAGAAGCAGGAAAATCTTGATGATGATGATGATAAAAATTTGTATTCCGCCCTATATCTGCAGGTCACAGGAGAGTTCACAGGATAAAATCACAATACAAAAACACAGAATACATGCATCTTGTTAGATCTCGTGTGTCATTCCATTTCATTAGACCTCTGGCAGTGGTGTAAAGAGATGATCTAAGACATTTTGTGTCTAAAGGTGAAAATCCAAAATATATAACCTGGTGGTAAAAATAAAAAACTAAATAACTGACAATTGCAGCCCTTCGATGGCTGCTCAAAATCTGAGGTGGCCTGTTTCACTGTATCTAATGGTAGAACCAACTGTAATTGTAGCTTTATTTCCTTAAGGAATATAGGAAAGACTCAATTTGGTTCTGTTTTTGGGTATTATTCACAATGGGCAAATAATATAATGAAGTCATCAACTGAACAGTACAATGACCACAGCGACTTTGCCCGTACCCCTGCCCAATTAGAAATCTAGTTGCTTAATTTACTGTAATACACTTCTCTTTCCATTAAGATATAAGGCTAATATTCATATGATATTACACACACACACCTTTTGAATTAAATATAAAAACCATAAAAGAAGCCACCCTTGCTTTGCACTAAGTAGAACAGTCTTCCATCTCTCGTAATGATGTCACTTGAAACAAGCTACTGTAATTTGTGAGAAGTAAGGAAATATATTTATTAATTTCCAAAGAAATAATTTGCCACATTGATCTCTTATTTCCCCTCTTGCTACTCCTAGCATGCAACAGCCTTTGGTGGTTGTCTAGTTACATTTAACTAGCCCTATCCCATTGTGCAGGAGGTCAGTAACTGAACGTGGTATGGAAAAACTGATTTGTTAATTAATTTAATCATCTCTTCTAATAAAAGCAGGATAAGACTGGCAGAGGAAGCTTGTTATCAATCCGTGGGCGCTGGTAGGCAGTAATTATAGGTAATGATGCTTTTGTCTCATGGCATTCTGAAGATCATCTTGAACTCCTCCTCACAGACAGAGCAAACAGACTACCATGGTGAATTCTCCTCCCTGGCCTTTCTTTCCCCTCTCTCTAAGGAGAGAAATTACAGCTTGTTAGGTGGAAGCAGCTCATTTGAAGCTTCAATTTTTTTGAGTGTTCTCTTATTGGAAGCACCAGGTGTGTTGTAGCCATTGCAACAGCTACTATTGCCTCCCATCTCATGTTCAAACTTATATGGCATTCTGCAAGTCTTAGGTTTTCTTTTTTGCTCAAGGGTCAGTGCTTGAAAAGATGGGAAGAGCATCATAACATTAACTCTGTGAGAGTTAGGATAGGCTGAGAGGAGGTGATCAGCCTTAGGTTTCAAGTGAGCTTCATGGCTGAGTGGGAATTTGAACCCACGACTCCCAAACCCTAGCCTAACACTTTAGCCACTACATCACACTGATTCTCAAAACTATCTGTGTTCTTCTTTTGGGACCATTTCCTTTTGAATGTGCATGGTACGTTTATACAATTTGTGACTCATCTGGTTGAACACAGAGCTCACCAGTCCTCTATGGCAGCCTAACAGGGGCTGAATAAACCTCTCTGGGTTTTAAAGATAGTAGAGTTGTTAAGCATCTGGCAGCTCACAATAAATGGTTGGTGGGATGTGATTGGCATAAGTTGTGCAGTGCTACTCTAGGGATGCTTCTAGTTGTCTTCTCAGAACAGTGCTTCAGTAAATATAACCAAAAAATGCAGAGTGGTCTTGGTAAAGTCAGGTACCTTTCCTGTTCAGAACACAGCTGCACATGCTATGGGAAGTTAGCTGTGCAGGCTGAATAAGCTGGGCTGGTCCTGCAGTGGACACTACTGATTGTGGATTGCATCCAACTAAGCTTTGTTCACAGCCCACCCACTGAGCCTAAGTCAGTTGTATCCATTGATTTCAACGGGTCTGTTCTAAGTATGGCTCACACTGGCAACAACCCGGTATGCGGGAAAATGATAAGGTTACAGTCAGAGGCGCTGAAACAATGTAATCAGAGAGGTGAGATATTCCATAAAGACAGTACACCCATAAGTAAGGGCAACAACATCACTTAAGTCTGAAATGTTGTGAAAGCATCCCAATTCTTACGATCAGTTCCTATGAGCTGATCACTGGATGAACAAGGATTATGGACATCTCATCTGTTTCTACTGGGCCAATGAATGGAAACAACTGCTTCAGGCGGCAGAATCCCAAGGAGTCACAATTTCCCTGCCTCTGTCTATTTCTGTACGCCCTTGAAAAGAACTTTGCTCCCAACCAGGATAGGGGTGTGTAAAGTGCACCATTGTTGCCTGTTTCCAATATTAAGAGTCTAAGGTTAGCCAAGGAAGTTCCTCTGGTGCCAACTTTGCTATCATTTAGGCTTCATTTAGTTTTCTGAGGTCCATGGCACCTGGCTGCCTGCTCCTTGTATGGGCCTGGTTGGTACCAAAAGTAAAATTAACCTTGTACAAGAATTTGCATATGACACTGTGGAGAATCGCCCAGCCTTCAAAAATAAATAAAAATAAGCATGAAAAACCAAAATGCCCCCAATGCTGGTTGGTCAGTAAGTTTACATCTACTGCTATGGCTCTTCTGATGTGGTTGCAGAATGAATCTGTCTAAAGAGGGAAGTGTTTGGCACAGAACACCCTAGCACTGACACTTCTTCTGACACAGTGCTCAGCGTCGCGCTGCAAATGCACCAGTGATCACACTTCTCTGCTGTGAAGATAAGCTGGTTGATAGCACATTCAATGTGCAAATAACCAGAGGCACACTGCGGGTCGTGTGGGATCGTGTAGGTCGCTAGAATATTCAGTGTGTTACTGATTCGCAGACAGCTAAAACCTAATTTGACTACTTTGTTTCCATGATACCATATTTTGACCAATAAGGTGTGTGTTTGGGGGAAATAGAATGGTATTATAGGATCCTTTTAGCTCTCCATTTTAGATTATTGCTAGTACAGCAGAGCTGCCCTTTTGCTCCAGCAAAGGCAGCCGGAAATGCTGTTCTCATCCATCGTTACCCAGCTTAGTTAATGCTGTTGACCCTGTAACTGGGGCTATCTGCCACTACCATTGCTGCCAGGCCAGGCATCAGAATTCTAGCCCAGTCCCTATGTGGCTCACCTGAGCCTACACAAAACACTTTGTCTGGAAGGGATGGGGGCAAGAAAGGGTTCAGAAAGGAGAGAGAGCAGCAGTTGGGGGCAGCTGGAAGGGGAAGGAGACAGGGTCCTCAAAGTTGCTCTGGATTGTGTGAGTACAGTGTTGTACCATGGATTGTAGTAGGGAGAAATTAATGGTTTTCGGTGGCAAGCCCACAAAAGTAGCTTATTTTAATAAACGAATAAAAAAAGCAGCACTGCCTATCTGCTTTTCAGTTGAGGGTTTCAGCTGGCTTCATAAATGGCTGAAAACTTTGACTGACTCTTTGCCATTAAACATTTACTCATGGAAAACTTGGACTCCTAGAGCACTCTGGACATGTGTAAGTTATACTAGTGCTTTTCTTCTAGTAAAAAAGCACTGAGTTATACACCCAACATGTTATTACAGGCCATCTGAAAGTTGCAAGTGAGTGTTGGATATGTTCCAGGATGTACTGTCAGTTAACGTGGGACAACAGTCAGGCCCAACAGGTCTGGAAATAGCCCTGCATAGAGTGAAAGTGTGCTCTAGGACATGACCCAGAATCCTTTGCGGTACATAGGACCCATGCTAGACATTCAAAGTCTCTCAAGCAAACAAGTTGATTTAGAAACTGCTCCCTGGAGGTAGGAAGTCTGGAAAAAACTGCTATAACTGGTGATAGTGCAATAAGCAAATAAACAAAATGACAGCTGAATAAATGAATGAATGCCAATGACAAGAGATTTTGGTCCTTTGCACGCATATGATGTGAATAAAGTAGAATATTTTTAAATTAATGCTATCTAACCATGAGTGTGGATGTGTGAAAATGAATGTGTGGGGCCTCCCAAGTGAGCAGTGTATGCCTTTCCCCCTCCCTACAAACGAATACACTTTAAACCTACTTTAATTCAAACCATTTGCAACAAATGGCCCCGCAGTGAAGTAGATATTTCCTTCCTAAGTGGCTTTCCCTTTCCACTTGGCTAATGTTTAGTTGTATATTCATAAGGAAGAGAAAAGATCTGAGGACCTGTGGCCCAAGCCTATTATGTGCCATTCCATCTGTTTGTGATGAGCCAGAAAGAGCTCTGCGTTAGGTCCTGCCTTATGGCAATCCCTGGTCTGCAGTTGCTATTTTCCCACACTTACTTAAGCTTCCCTGCACATGGACACACACAAAGCAGATGCCGGTGCCACAGCAGGCCTGCAAGGCTCCTCCTGAGTGTGACATATTTTTATATAGCCAGGTCCTTAGGACTTGCTGCCGGCAACACCAACCAAGCAAACACAAAAAGCTGCTTACAGTTGACATCAGACAACCTGAAACTGGTTTATTGATTGTTCGAAGAAAACTAACATGTCAGACCATCGCTTATATACTATTACCTTGTGACAAAGCCGAATGGATTGATGAACTCTTTATCTATCGATCACCACCATCAATAATTTAATTTATAATTCATTATTATTATTAACTACATTTCACTACCACCCTTTACTCAAGGATCACAGGATGGTTTACAATATAGAAACACAAAAATACATACAATGGTAACAAACAAAAACACCCCCCCCAACAGTTTAAAGGGCCATAGAGTGTTTCATTAGCCAAAGGCCGGGTTATAGAGAAATGCTTTTGCTTGGCACCTAAATATATATGATGAACGTTCCAGGAAAGCCTTCCTGTGGAGAGTATTCCACAAATGGGAAGCCACTGCAGAAAGGCCTTTTCTTGTGTTGCGGCCCTCCAGACCTGTTGCAGAGGAGGCACACAAGAAAAAGCCTCAGGTGATGACCTCAGGGTCTGGGTTGATTCATATGGGCAGAGGCGGTCTTTGAGGTATTGTGGTTCTGAGCCATTTAAGGCTTTATAGGTCAAAATCAGCACTTTGAGTTGGGCCCAGAAACTAATTGGCAGCCAGTGCAGTCAGGC